TATTATACTCTGTTCGGTAACAGGTGCTCGTCGAGTGCAAACCACACAACACAAGTGACGACGGCCTCACAAAATGTAATGGGCGTTCATAGTTGGCGATCGTACGTGCGATTAGGCGATTAGGCGAGTAGGCGAGTAGGCGAGTAGGCGAGTAGGCGATCAGGCGATGAGTAAAGGATACGTATCGATTAGGCGAGTACGCGAGTAGGCGATTAGGCGAGTAGGCGATTAGGTGATATCTGGATTGTATGCAACACTTTGACAAGATCTGCTTTTACCAACTAGTAGTCTAGTGTATGGGTGAGAAGCTAATATGCATGTGCGCCTCAATTTTGACGACTAAGGAGTGCGCCGTGTGCAAATCGCCTAATCGCCTAATCGCCTACTCGCCTACAACGCCCTCAGGGCGGAACATACAAGTCGATACGTATGTAGTCTTCACCGCCTAATCGCCTACCCTGATCGCCTAATCGCCTACTCGCCTACTCGCATCGCTGACTCGGCCTACTCGGCTACATCGCGAATACTAATACTATATTTTCATTTCAGACTAATTGCCTAATCGCCTAATCGCCAACTATGAACGCTCCATTAGTGACGATTAGGCGAGCAGGCGATGAGAGAAGTATACGTATTGATTTAGTGCTCCGCCCATTGACGATCGCCTGATCGCCTAACCGCCTACTCGCCTACAATGTTCCAGGGCGGAGCAAACCAATCTATACGTATGTTGTCTTCCCGCCTATCGCCTAATTGCCTAATTTGCTACCTCTAGCGTGTATTTTTCCTGTTACAGACTAATCGATAATCGCACGTACGATCGCCAACTCTGAATACTTTGAGTTTTCCAATGGAATGTTTATCCGGTTGCATTTGTACTTGTCAGTTGTCACTGATTGCAACTATCGTTTTTACCAACTATCAGCTATCACTGTGAACCACTAGTTACCGAATTGCCGCTATCGCAATATACTTGGACATTTTGTCCGAACGTATCGCAAAGTATCGCCTAGGACTAAGCTCGGGGAAAGGAATATCGGGAAAATAAAAAATTGCTCACGCAAACTGTAGCCATTCTTCACCTATGGCTTAGTCGAAGAGGGGGTGGGGGAGGATGCAGGGAGGGAGACGACCGCTTTCAAGAGGAAGGGCTATATCCGTGTTGACGTATTACTTTAACCTAAGGCTGTATTGTGCATTAGCAAACACAACGGCTATGTGTATAAACACCGATCGAGCACACACAGTCTCGTTCAATTATACACAAGTGGAAGGACCACAGCGGAAGACGTGAAGCTTACGCAGGCGTCCCGGCTGTTGACGGGGGACCAATCTGGTCAGAACTAAAACTGCAAAATAGCCTGCTATGGGAGTTGTGAGCAGTCAAAGTTGGCAAGTCATGCAGGAACACTACCACTACATACTCCGCGGCGAGTTTGAAAGCCTGGAGTTTAGCACAGGTCATAAGTAACGCATTACTTTAGCCAACTTTGACTGTTCACAACTTCTTTGGCAGGTGCATTTCGCAGTCTCAGTTCCCATAGTTGTAATCAATTTAAGATCTATCGTTTGAAGCTCTATCGACATCTGGATCTCAATTCCAGGTTTCATAAGAAGTTGAATGCCTCTCCTGGTTAGTAGCGGGTAAAGCATGGCACGTGGGACAGGCGTTTACGAAATGCCCCGTAGTTTATATTGCGACAGCACCCAACAATCAGCTACCACTACGAACCACCAGATACAATTACTTGGAGGTCGTTTCGTATATTGGATGTGTTCTGCGGCTCGACGCGCACCATGGTTCGCAGAGGGGTATCTGGAATATATGTGCTGCGACTTAGGTTGTCAAAATGAGTGCTGTTAATTTCAGGATGATTTCTTCTCGGAATCAAGTGTAGGTTTTACAGTTAGCTTCATCTTTTCCTTTTGTTATCTGCTGTCCTAAGAGGACGCTCATTCCGTTTGGGAGGAGGGGGACATTCAAGTGTGTGTGCCACTCACAGTACCTGGGATTGAGGAGGAGAAGGATTCTGGGAGAGTATGTAACCAATTTTCCTTCTCCCTGGCGTTCCTCCTCTCTCTTGGGTTTCCTACTGTTACCTACAGGCGGTTTTTGAATGCCCAGTTTTGAATGCCTCACTCAAAAGTGATGTAGTTCTCACCTCCACGTTGTGGTCTCACGCTCCATTTATCCACGTGCTCTTGTCGAGAGCCAGAATAACCCTTCTAAACGTTAGGTTAGCTTTGCTGGCGGTTCAATACAGCCACCAAACAAAGATTAAAATCATTTCTGAAGTTAATCAGCGCAATATCAAGATTGTAAAAACAAATCACGACTGCTGCGAAAACATTCACGTTTATTATACATTTTTTCTTTTTCCTGAAGCGCACCTCTTTGCTCATTTTGGCACAGCAGGTGAGTTGTGGAGATGCTTTTAAATGAAGGGTTCAACGATGAGGTCGGAGTCTGAAGAAGCGCCAAACCCTATCTTGGGAAAGCTGACGAGCCGTCTTCAAGATGCAAGGACGATGGCGCGTTTTCGCAGACAAAGGGTTACCCAGCTCCTAGGCTTGCGAGATACTCGCACGCTCGCGCTGCTGCATTAAGTTGCGGACTGGGCGGACTCTTGCGGTCTGACTTAAGCCGTCTCGAGAGACTCGCCTAACACGCGAATCAACCTGCAAAAAAGTGCCCCCATTCTTCGGGTTCTAAGCCGTTTTCTAAGCATTTTCTTCATCCGTCATCACTAAGCCACCTCTTCCTTGATCTCTAATAGGCTCTCTTTTCATCACAGACACAGCATCTAATTCAAAACCAGACCACATAATAAAGAACCCTTCTCACAGGCCACGCTGGCTTCACTCGTTGCGCTCTAAAGGCAAGATTCGGGATAAAATAGGTGTGGAAAAGCGTTCATTTATGAAGCTAGAGGTGGGAGGTGGTCTGGAAAAGCGAAGGAAAGCAAACGAAACCACCGATTACGCCCCGCACAGAGACCTTCCCAATTTCAGCCACATTCCACCTTGAGATAGAGAAGGGGCGCGTTGGACGAGTTTCACGAACCTAACTCTAAGTTGCTCCACTGCCAATGACATTGGTCGCTTTGGGATTGCTGTCTTGAATGCGCCCGCGCTTTCAAGCAGGCGACACGTGGCAACGTCAGCGAGGGTGGGCTTGTGGAGAAGGTTGTGAGGTTTGCGGAGTTGGACGAGTTTTCTAGCACTCTTGTCGCGGCATTTCGCAGCTGCACAAAAGGGCGCGACATCACGTAGTCGGCTGTCTGTATTCCCCCGGAATGAAACAGGTGAGCGCTCCTAATCGTCGGCAAGCGTGCCTTTAAGCACGCAGTACTTGATGTTGGAATAACCTGCACAATCTTTTTTAGCTTTGTGTCACTCGACACATGCGACGATTCCTAGTTTTCAAGCAGGGGGTGTGCACAGATTACTGACAGTATAGTGAGAGGGACGCAATCGTCCAACTACTGCATATTTAGCTCACTTATTCGTGTGAGAAAAATACGACAGAACGAGGAAATCATACCACTTTGTTACCATTTTTTATCGCTGGAATTGAATAATCAGTAGAATAATCCAAATCAGAAGTGAAACGTTAAATGGGTAATGGTCAAACACACCATTAAGCTGCCATTAGATTCGATAGATTTGGATCAATCTATTGCACGGTCTATTTACACTTTTGGCTTTCAGGGATGGACGTCGATCGAATGAATCGGCATAAAATGCAATTTTTTAGGCGTCAGTATCAGGATCAGGTGTGCGTCACAGCGTAAGCAGTTCCTATTTTGATTCTTTCAATTGCTTCCCTTTGTTGCATTCTTCCTTCAAAGGAGGATTCCACGATAACAATGAAAATTGAAAAATGGGAAACTTACATAGTGGAGAGACAGGCGGACCCGCTAAGGGTGCTTACCAAACGCGCAATTCGCATTAAAGGATATGCTCCCGGCGATCTAGCGTGGTATTCCCTTTGACGCAGTTGGCCGGGAACGCCCACCGACATAGCAAAGAGGGCGTTAGCGCTGAAGGGGCACGATGAGAGTAGCATCAATGCGAAAATAATGGGCAAGGGAAGGGGTCCCGTTTCTCGGGTTCCCGGCTATTTTACATGGTATCCCCGCTTCACTGACCACCTCCACCTTTATTTCCAATGAGCTACCTTTTCATCGTGAAAACCCGCCTTCAATCCTTTAACAGGGCGATTATCACGTAACACTCCGAGTGGGATAGCCCGTTTCTTATCTTCAAAAATATTGACGTCAGTGCTTGAACTGTGCCAGAGAGGCTATAACACAATGCTGAGACTGTTAGGACTTCTTTGGGAGAGATGGGTGTTTTTGGCGGTGCTTCACATTGCCTTGCAGAAGAAATTCAGTGGATGATTGCGAGTGTAGAGCGCGAGCAAAAGATCATGTCTCGAGCACGATACTGTCGAATTACTATGAAACCTAAAATAAATATTATGGAGATAACAATTTATTTTCATTCTAGAGCGATGAGGTTGGCAAAAAAAGACGTAGAAGAAAACGAAGGGCCAGAGCCAGAAGAAAACTGAGAGAGCAAGAAAGCAGAAAAAGCCGTAAAAAAGAGCGTGACGGAAGTTCTGATGAGAAAGAGAAGCCAGAAAAAGAAAAGGTGCTTAGCTTCGCTAACGACCTTCCTCTAGTCGAATATCATTATTTTCCAAATATGGAATACCAGTTTCCCATTTTTCTAATTCAGCAACAACCATTTTTCGCAATTCGTGCACCGAAAGATGGAGGAATGAAGGCTACTGCTGATCCGAATTATCAAACACTTGCTGGGCTTAATAATGATGAAGTGTTTCAGCCAAAGGTATGAAGACAAAAGGACTCTAAATTTTTAGGAAAAAGGAGCTATAAAATTTCAAAATAGGTTATCTCTCAACGAATAGCCATTAAAAGTTTTCAGCGTACCTAAACTTGGCCTGGTATAAAGGGAAAGAAAAGCCATTATCCATTAGTTCCTTGAGCAAGCTTCGGGATAGTATAATTGTGTAAAAGCGTTCAAAGGTGAAGTTGGAGGTGGAGAGTGATCTGAAAAAGAAGAAAACAAATGAAATCGCCGATTACGCTCCGAGCAAGTATTATTTTCGGACGAAGCTAATCCATCAATTTCTACCTCTCGGTCTTATAGGTCTGGTCTGCGCAACTGATAAGATATAAGACCATCTATCGGCCCTGCAGTAGCATAATAAAAGGCCGTCGATATTTTTTGCATCCTGGCAAGCCCCGCCCACATCGGTGCACGTCCCACCCACCGAAGCATTTGACGTCCATTACTTCACCAACCTTTATCAACTCTGCTCTCGGTCTCTGCGCCCTCAAAACTAACTAGAATATTTTGGGTAAAGCTAAGCTCACTTCGACGCACCTCCCACTCCCGACAACATTTAATCTCTCCTCCTTCCCCAACCTCAATCACGTTCTTCCGTTTCTATCATGCTCGGAACCGAAATATGGAGCAGCAAGCTCCTCCCAGTTTGGTTTCACTGTCATCCTTTAGTCTCTCCTCCCTCTTTGACTTCCACAACTTTTTTTCCCAGTTTTTTTGGGAACTTCCCTAAACCACGATATGAGACCTCTGATAGGCCTGCCTACTTAAGGCACGCTCCACTCTACTGTTGACTTAAAAGGACGAATTCACGATGAAAAAGCAACCCATTTCAAATTAACCTAGGGATGGTGAGTGGTACACGAAAGAAGGAAGAACCATGAGAAACGGCCCAGAACCCGAGAAATGGGACCCCTTCCTTGCCCGTTGATTTGAGCATTGATGCGACTCTCATCGCTGTGCCCTCTTCAACACTACGCTCTCTCAGCTATCTAATCACTCGCCACGTATTGAACTACGGCGAGTGATCAGATGATCGGTGGGCGGAGATCGCCGGACCCGCCAGCTTTGAGGCATGATAGGTCGCCGAGGTCAAATTTTTCCATGCGAATTGCGCGTCAGTTCGCACCCTCAGGAGGTCCGTGGGTCCCTCAACTAGGTCAGTTTCCCTTTCTTCGACCTTCATTCTAATCGTGAATTCCTCCTTTAAAATCAGGTGCTGCTGGGGACACCTTCGATATTGCTCTCCTAAGTCGGTATTTCTCTGCTCATTGTGCTTTCTCCTGGCAGATTTATGAAATTCTTTAGTTTTTTCAAGCACCGTCACTCTAGAAGACGCCCATTCCCACAACTAGGAGGTCCCCACAATTCTACTTAGCAATTCAGGGCACACGTCAAGCCATTTTTTCCCTACCCTGGGCACATCGAAAGTATCAAACCACTCTGAGGATTGTTGGATAGAGCAAGTCTGAATTGCAGCTCTATATTAACACGTGAAGACGATGTTCTTCCTTTTGAAAGTGTGAAAATGCGCGATTCTCAAGAATTTCCCACATTCATGGCCGACTCCAGTTATGGAAATTATGATAATTAAAAATGTCATTTCCCAATGACTTTCACAATTTCAATAGCAGCAAGAGCAGCAAGAGCACGCAGCAAGAAAACTCAGTCAAGGAAATTTCAGCCTTCTTTCCTACTAAAAATCTGTTCATCTGAAGAAAGTTGTGTTATTGAATGGGTGTTCATTTTTCAACGTGGTCCAGATAAACTGTCCACGGCAACGCATGCGTTGCCGTGGACCATGATAGATTTTTAGTACATAATTTGGACAACAGGCTAATATCGCTCGTAGGAATCTGCTGTGTTATTCAGGGTGGTGGTGGTGCGGGTGCGGGTGGCAAACTGATTATCAGACCACCAGCGGCAGAGGAAGAAAGGTGGCAACATTGATCCAAACTACCAAACACTAGCAGGATTGAACAATGAAGACGTTTTTAAGCCAAAGGTGCTTTTTTACTAGTATTGAAAAGCGGCGTGTGTGTGATTTACCTATTACACAATTCTTAATTAGCAATATTATGGAGAAAATTGTGATGCATTTTTAGGGCGGTGCTGGAGCTTTTAGTGGTGGTAGTGGTGGTAAGTTGAATATCAGACCACCAGCAGAAGGTCCGTAAGGTGGCAACATTTGATCCGAATTATCAAAACGTTAGCTGGTTTAAATAACGAAGATGTCTTCAAACCAAAGGTTGTTCATCAACTCCACTGTTTCGTTTTGAAACGAATGCTCAGCAGCGTTATTTTTCAGAAATCATGCAAACCGGAGCTTTTTAAACACAACACCTTTCCAAAGTGGTATTTTAGGACGGCGGCGGCGGTGGAAGAGGAGGAGGAGCAAATCTGAACATTAGAGCTCCCACAGATGCCAGGGGAAAGAAAGTGGCAACATTCGATCCCAACTATCAGACGCTAGCAGGTCTTGAATAACGACGACGTCTTCAAACCTAAGGCAGGTTTCAATACTTTAATTGTATATTGCGTTGCACGGTTTACGTTGTAAGATTTACTTTCGAAAGAAGTTTTTGGTTTAACGGAAACTGGGTCGTAACTCACCTCTCCGCTCTAAATTTAGGGGGCAAGGGATGAATGGAAGCTGCCATTCATCTCTTGCACCCTAAATGACGGTGACGGTCTTCGAAGCAGTGCGAAGCAACAATACTGAGCGAGGGAAGTGGGCAAGTTTTAGGGGGAAGTGGTTTCAGAAGGTGTGGACATGGGTAAGCCATTCATCAAATAGAGAAAAAAGGAAAATGAAAACAAAGTGTATATGAAACTTATTGTGAATTTCTTAAAAGTCCAACCGTCCAGGTCCCGGAAACATATGTTATTCCTCATTGCTGAGAGCTGCTACATGTAATACATTAGCAGCTACCATCAGGAATCACAAAAACAAGAGGTATATATCGTAGGACCCTTGCTGACGCCATTGTCACGTGTTAAAGCAACAGTTCAGGAACGGTTTCGCGGGAAAAAACCACCAATAATGAAGTTGTAGATGAAAACCAGACGATTAATGTATGAAAAACTGGAAAAAAACGTCGGGGAGGGTCTTAGACAGGTACTCTCCCTCTGCCGCTCAGCAATGGATAAAGACGCACGTTGGACGAGTTGTCTGAACGTGCCCGCTGTAAACGCGCTCCATTTTTCAATCAATTTTCCCTGTGGTCCCAAAACGAGCACGATTGCCGACGCGTCCAATGACGGCCGGCAAGGGGGCGGGATTGGGGAAATCCCCAAGAACACCCATGTTTGAGGGACTTTCCACCCTGTTTTTGAGTTTCTGAGGTAAGTTCGTTTATTATTTCCACTGCATATGTTCTTCACTAGGGCTCGTGTATCCCTCAGTAGTAGTGGCATTGAAATTTTCGGACCCTCCCTGAACTGTTGCTTTAAGGAGTAGCCTTATGCTTCGTTTGCTTAATAAAGAGCTTTCGGAACGGATTTGGAGCTTTTAGTCATCGTCTGTCACTACAAGCTTGCGCAATAACGATAGTACCTTCATAAAATTTCGTTTCAAATGTTTTGAAGTACGGTTTGCGTAATATGTAAGTGAGCCGCGCCGGGAAACGGTGTACAGGGTGGGCCAAAATTATGAGGAACCAAGACATTGTGTCGTTAGAAACGCATGGCAGCTTAATGGAACAAACAAACTTCAGGAAATCCAGAATAGAATTGAGATCTGCCACCTGCCCCGTTTGCACGAGCTTTCAGATGAAGGGGAAGGGGCGTGCGGTGGCACGCAACTGAGACGTGTCAAAATGTATCCAGGCGTCCAATAATTATCGAGACGCAGTGGCGACGTACTAACGGCGGCTCGATAGACGATAGCGACGAACACCGATTCAGGTCCAATAGTTCCGGAACATCGGACTAGGGCGAGCAGACAGTGTGCTGGCGATCGGCAGCTCCGGCGTCGGCGAAGAAGCCTCGTTGATCGATCGAGCGTCGGGGGTTTAAGTATCGAGCTCGCGTACGCCTGAAATCAGTCCGTTAGATCTGCGTACTGTCATTCCGCTGCGCTTGAGAAAGTTGTAAACATAGCCTATCGATTGGGAAAAGCCTACAGGCTTACACCTCCCCCCTTTACCCAAATACGTCCGTCCTCGGACGTAGGCTAACTAAGCCCTTGGTCCAGAAGGGAAGAACGTGAATTCAAAGGTCTTAGTTCTGCGTAAGATCGCCCCAGGAATAGTTGCCCCGTCAACCCGTTAAATCAGAAAAAAAGAAAGAGAAATCTGCTCACCTTAGTCACCGAGAACAAAACTTGAAAGCGAACCATTGATGTAAGTGAAGACGTGGCGGGGAGATAATGGTGGTGAGTAAGATGAGTAGCGGTGACCAAAATCTTTCAATGAAAAGCGGCTATTTCGCGAAGCGTAAACTACTGAAATTGATCCCTGTAGATAATGAGTACTGAAATAAACGAAATGGTAGAAAAACAGAGGAAAATGAGGAACCTCTGGCACTCAGAGTAAATCAAGGCGATACCGTGTCACGCAAAGATGTCGTGTAGCGAAGTGGTGCTCACAATAAGGTTCCAGTCGTGTGCCCATTGAAGGACTCGCCCCAGTTTGGCAGTTGCTGAAGAGCTTCGGCGTGACCTAAAATAAATTGGCCATGTCTACATCGTGTCATCGCAACGTTGAGTCTGCGGATATCGTCCATAAATTCTCCTGATTCTCTGTCGATTAGTCTTAGTATTAAGTACTACAGTATATCTATTTGCCCACTTTGAACTGAGTTGACGGTGTGCAGTGGGACTCCAAGACGTCGCAGTGGATCTTCTAGACGTCTCTGCTTTATAAAAGGTAATAACAGCGATTGTATCCTTTGCCAGCAGTGCACATACCAAGTCCACGCAACAGGTTGCTTCAGCCCGATTGTAATGGGACTGGGTTGAAGACGCGTGGGAACGTCCCACGAACATCGACGAAGACGAAGGGGATGTCCGGATTCGGCAACGAAAGGCGACGGGTAAGAAGTTGACGCTGTCGAGCTGTCGATCCATTGACGAGTGCTTCGTTGTAGACGATCCGGTTCGGAGGTCGCTGAGGGCTTGCGCTCGGAACGTAGTGACGAGAGGAGCAAGCGGGATGTCTTTCTGCATTAACAGTGCCATTACTCCTTTCCCTCGAGTCGAGCCGCCATTGACGAGCGCGGGCAACGTACGTGTGGTTCGAGTTGGTTAGCATCGCCAATGTAGATGTGGCGCGCGCCGGTAAAGCGCGCTACCGAAGCCACAAATGTCGGCTCGGGGATTTGAGGGCTTCATCTCCTATGACGACATCGGCGTCCTGGAATACCGTCCGTCGAGAAAAGGCCTCCAGGTTGGGTGGTGCTGAGGAGAGACGCCGTGGTCATACATACGATGTTGGGAAACCGCACACGAAGTATTGTTCTCGGTAGGCATCCTCGGTATCTTCGGAGTTGTGATTTTTCGCGATCGCTACTGCTCCGTTCCTCGTTTGTCAGGTGGAGGGTTGCTTCGGGATCCAGCAGCATGCGTTCGATAAGCGTACGGCCTCGAGCATAGACAGTGAGCTGTTCATGCTCAGATTCACTAAGCTTGTCCGGTAGATTGGCCACTAGGCCACGAAGCACGTAGTTAAGGTCTAATGGAGTGATTGGTGCACCCTCCCGTAGTGCCGAGTCGGCTAGAAATCGAAGTACCTTGCAACGTCGAAATTCGTCAAGTTTCAGCAACGTGTCGGTGAAGTGCGCCACCAGCGACGTTCGTGGTAGCCGTGGCGATGACGAGTCGTCCTTGTTCAGCAAGACGAGCTGCAATGTAAGCGCCCACCACTGTTTTCCCCGTGCCAAATGCAGCCTGGATTGCTAAGATAGGATGATTGCCGAGTCCCATGTGAACCGCATTGGCTTGATCGTTGCGAAGACGGATATCGAGTGAATTCAGCGTAATCGTCAGAGGAGGGACGGTGGGCAGTGGGTGCTCTCGCTC